TGCTGTTTCACAAAAAGTAATTATTCAGTTCTCAACTCAATATTTACACCAGCAGTTTTCCTCACAAAATACATTATACCCTGGTATGCAACCGGAGTGCTTTATGCATACTTCTTTAATCATAACATTGAAAATATGCGATCTCCACTCAAGGGTGGAGATCTAATAAAATTAATAACATTTTTCTGCTCTATCAAGAACAGTATTAAATGAAACATTTTTTTCCTGTGATTATGTGTCAGTTAGAAAAGGGTGATTGCTTTTGTAATTTGATACCAGTGCTTTGCTTTATGCTAATGTGTCAGTACTTTACCCACTGTATTTATCATATTTTGTATTTTCTATATTTTATGATGTTTTGACATCTTTGGGGGACCTTGCTGGTTGGCGAGAGACTACCCCTCCCAAAGCTAGCTAATTCCTAGAGACAGTAAACATCTTGTTGGTGAGCCCACTTTTTATATGCAAACCAACCAATCCCAAGTCCATACCCTCAACTACCTCCTTTATCTAATACTCACACACCAAGCCAATATACCCTCTGCTCTGAATCACCCAGAACCAGGTACCAGACAACTAGAAACCCCCCTTACAACCCATAGCCTGCCAACACTAGCCAATCCTAAGCTGTTTCCCCTGCCCTGCCTTGCCTTTTTTGTAGAAGCAAGCCCCAATTAAAAGCTCTGCCCTCACTCCTTTCTGCCTCCTGACCACACCTGGTGCTTCCCTGTGTGGCCTTGCATGGCATAGCATGCCCCCTCCACTCAGGAATTGGAAATAATAACAATCTTCTTTTAACGGCATTAGCTTCTCTCTGTAATCACTCAGTCACCCCATAAATTAAAATTCCATGAGTACAAATAAGACACTCGCTATTGCTTTTGCCCCGTTAGTGCAAATATGAACACAGTTAAAAAGACAGTTGAAGTGTTGTTATTATTAACAAAAATAGTCTTGACTTTGTGGACCTCCCCTAAGAGTCTCAGGTACTAAAGATTCATGAATCACACTTTTGGCAACTGGCGATTTAGGTCTTTCTTGTTGCTTTTCATCTCTTTAAATTTTCAATCCTCTATCTTTCTTCTTTTGTTGTAGTCTCCTATTTATAGGCATTCTTAAATCTATCCAAAAGATAAATAGGAAATAATTGTCTAATATTTTTCCTCCTCCTAGTTTTCATTTTCTTTCCTTTCTTTCCCTGTACAATGCCTTACACTTGTTTCCTGCACTCAGTCACACTCCATTCTTACTGTGAGACCTGCCATCAGATTTCAAAATCTATGGGCCTTAAACTAAAGCAATAATGCCAATATCACCATTTCTTTCCAATAAATCTCCGTGTCTCATATCATAGCGCTCAGATTCCTGATATCTACCCACCTTGATCTGAATGAAAAAACTAACTCATTCTCATCTATTTCCCGACTGCCTTTTCACATCTTGGTTGCTTTTCTTCTCTTTATTTACATTGCCTGAGAAAATAAATGTTTGTTGAATAAATGGATATTATTTCAGTGGGCTTTCATTGGTGTAAACGATCTTTCTTCGTCCTCAGTTCTTGTCACTATAAAAGTCCTGTAAGCTGTAATAATTTGATCCATTCTCAAGTTGTGATTTCCTTGTTTTATATGAATGGCTTTCAAATAGACATTTTTAGCCCATTTCTCCCACCTGAACTCTAGTGGTATATTTTAATCTGCCTACAGCAATACAGCAATCAGTTGTCTCATTCTTTTGGTTATTGATATTATCAGAAGTAACAGTCATTATCTTTACCCTATTTGTTTCTATATCCTTTTGTTCCCATAATCAGCCCCTTGTATATCAAGTTGATTCCATCATCTCTTATATTATCTTAATGATCTCGCCACAATTTGTGTTATCGTATTTCTCTCTGTGAAATATCTTTACAGGTTCATTTTCTCATTTGCCACTGACATCTTCCAAAATGAAAGTCATATATTTTTAAACCATTTAAAAAAATTTTTTTTAATTTTATTGGGGAGCAGTGTGTTTTTCCAGGACCCATCAGCTCCAAGTCAAGTAGTTGTTTCAATCTAGTTGTGGAGGGCGCAACTCAGTGGCCCATGTGGGGATCGAACCAGCAACCTTGATGTTATGAGCACTGTGCTCTAATCAACTGAACTAACCGGCCACCCCTAAAGTCATATTATTTCAGGTGTGGACTGTTGTAATTACCACTTGGATTTGCCATGATTTTCCCCCAGTTCTTTCAGTTTATATTGTCAATACGTTAAAATGATATCACTTATATGAAGTGTAAATTCCTTTTTTTTCAAGAGCTGACAGAACAATATCCTATCTGGTCATTCAAAATGTATTTCTCTCTGTGACTGAGAACTTTTGCTAACCTCTATTTATTCTGATCTCCCAAATGTACTCCATACAATTGATTTTATTCTTTACAACTGGGCCTTTCATTATATGACAGTTGCTCTATGCCCATATGGATACTTGCAAAATTAGCCACCTACAAAGTTTGAGCATACAGTAGTACACACAAGACCACCCTCACTTCTGATACCAATTGTAAATTCAGGGATCCCCAAGACTACTGTTAGGATCAGTACTTTGCTAGGACTCACAAAACTTGCTGAAAGCTGTAACATTTACAGTTATAGTTTGTTAGAGAGGAAGAATACAGATTAAAATCAAGCCAAACACATAGGACAGAGTTCAGGAAACTACCAAACATGGAGCGTCTATAGTCCTCTCTCTGTGTCGTATGGACAGAATTACAGAATATCACCAGCCAGGGAGGCTGCACCCAAGCCTAGTATCCAGAGTTTATATTGGGGCTCCATCACATAGGCTTAATTTACTGTCCACATGGCTGATCTCAGTTTCAAGCCCCTTAAGAGGTCAAGCTGATACTGTGTGACCCAAAGCCCTGACCCTAAATCACATTATTGCTTTCTGGCTGGCCAAACACTCCTAAGCAAACAGATACACTCCTGTCAGGCATGGCATTCCATGGACTTAGAGATTACCTCCCAAAAGAAGGCAGATGTCAGACCTCTTATTGGGCAAGGTTATATTCTTTACTACACAATAGTTAAAAGATCATGTTTGACTTCCTCCATGAAATGTTCCTTGACTACTCCAGACCATGTCAATCCCTTTTTTTCTGCATTTACATTCTACTGATTATAACATGCAAACAGACACGTCCTCTGATGTGATCCAATAATTTCATATGTGATTCAACATTGTTTTATCTGAGGCTTCTTTCCCCATCTGATTAACATATCCCACAAAATAAGGTCCTCTCTTTTCCTTACTGTATCTTGTAACAGAGGCTAGATATTCAGTAGTTACCTGATTGATTGTCTATGGTACCATGCAAGAAAAACATCTTTCTCATCATTCAGAAATCATTTAAAGGTAAGGTTTTGGGGGGATTTTTTTAAGATATTCATGCCAACATCACATCCCTTTAACTCAGATAACAGTGTATTAATGTATACTCAGAATGTTTCAAAGAAGGTGATAAAAATTGACTTCCAAGAGCATGTTTTAGTTGTCAAAGAAATATTTTCAAATTGAGCATTTTTCATAGAATATTCATATTAAAATAGCAGGTTGTTTAAAGATTTCTTGAAATGGATAGTCCAGAATAAAATTATATTCTAATTTCAGACAAATTAAACATTGAAGATGTTGAAGAAGGCTTTTGGATAAATTGGGTAGTAGCATGTCACTGAAGCTGACTGAGGTTCTCAGGAAGGCAAAGTAACTCCAGTTACCAATACAAATTAGTTTTGCATTTTCTAGAACTGCACATAAACGGAATTGTGCAATATGTACTTTTTGCATAAAGCTTTCACTCTGAAAAATGTTTGAGATTCATTCCCCTTGTCATTGTGTATCAGTAGGGGTGTTTTTTTTTTGTTACTGAGTAGTATTCCACTGTATGACTATGTGACACAATATCACCTATTTACCTTTGATGGATATTTGGGCTGTTTCCAGTTTAGTGCTATTGTAAATAAGATGCAAGTCATGGGTAAGATAAATCCAACTTTTAAATTGCCCCACCAGATATGGGTGGTAGTAAGGTAACAGTAGTAAGATATAGCCAAGAATTTATAAGAAAAATAATAGGTAAGGTAAATCAGTGCCATACATATACATTGAAGAATGCAATCCTTACAGCCCGAATAGGGAATAGCAGAGTTTAAGGTATGTTACTGCATTGGGAGAACTTAAACACATCCTTCTCTAAAACTTAAAAAGTAATTCGGAAATTAAGAAGAAGAAAAATTAGTATTGATAGTGAGAAGAGTTTAGTAATTGATTGTTCCTCTGAAAAATAAATTGATGTAGCAGCAATCAGTGATTATGTTCATGTTGCAAGTATGCTTTCTTTATCTTCTGGTTTATTTTATAATTCCTAATGGAAATGTTTTCCTAATCCTTCCCTTTTAAGAGAAAATAAATCACATTTATATGGAGAGTTAGGGCCTACAGACTAGTGTTTCTGTCAACACAAGGAAATGAGTGCTTGAGAAAGTTCATTTCCATGGATGGTCTAAAGGCAAGTGAAGAATAAACAAATGGAAGCATTTTATAACATTTATTTAGGCATGAGGAAATATATATGATTTCATCTCCATGGAGCAGTTTTCTTCACTTACTGTTTAGTACTCTCGATAGGCTCACTCTGTTATCTCTGAACCTGCCCATTCCAAGAACGATCCCACTTTCACCATCCTTTGCTTGCTTATCCTTGTGTGTATTACACCTGCTCAATGTAGCTTGTATTTACAACATGCTAAAAATATGAGTGTTCTTTGCTTATGCCATTTTTCCCTCATTTTAACAGTATAGCAGGATTTGTGTTTATGTTCCATGCATTTTCCCTACCAACAGGTAATTTATTTTGGCCTTTCTGTAGATCACAATAGTGAGACAGACAGTCCCACCATGGGTTGTTTGTATATACATCTAATCCATAATATTTATGTGAAGACTTATAGTGTCATTCATTGTATTCTTTTATAGAAGAAGATGGGAAAACTGAAGATGTTTTAATGAAGTTTAAAGACTACCAAGATAGGCATTTTAAATCAGTTGTATTCATCAACCACAAAAGACTGATTAAGGAAAGAAGTAATATTTTTGGGAAAACACTTACTGTAGGTAAGAACTGTATTATTTCAAAAACAACACTACATGAATATAAACCTGATGGAAAAGTTTTGAAAAATATTTCAGAATTAGTCATTAGAAATATAAGCCCTGGAAGAGAGAAGTTTGCTGAGAGTAATGGATGGGGGAAATCACTTCTCAATACTAAGCATGAAAAAATTCATACAGCAGTGAATATCTATAAACAAACAGAAAGGAGCTTGAGTGGTAAACAAGAGCTTATTCAACATCAGAAGGTTCAAACTTCAGAGCAATCATTTGAACATAATGAATGTGAAAAATCCTTCCTTATGAAAGGAATGTTATTTACACATTCTAGAGCTCATAGAGGAGAAGGACCCTGTGAATACAATAAAAATGGAATAACCTTCATCGAAAAGTCAAATCCTAATATCCATCCACAAAATCTTATGGAGAAGAAGCCCCATGCATATAACAAATATGGGAAATTCCTCTGCAGGAAGTCCATTTTTATTATACATCAAAGATCGCAAACAGAAGAGAAACCCTTTCAGTGTCCTTACTGTGGCAATAGCTTTCGAAGGAAGTCTTATCTCATTGAACACCAGCGAATTCACACAGGTGAGAAACCTTATGTTTGCAATCAATGTGGAAAAGCCTTCCGTCAAAAGACAGCCCTCACTCTTCACGAGAAAACGCATATAGAAGGGAAACCCTACATTTGTATGGATTGTGGGAAGTCCTTTCGCCAGAAGGCAACCCTTACTAGACATCACAAAACACACACAGGGGAGAAAGCCTATGAATGTACTCAATGTGGAAGTGCTTTTAGAAAGAAATCATACCTCATTGATCATCAGAGAACTCACACAGGAGAAAAACCGTATCAATGTAATGAATGTGGGAAGGCATTTATCCAGAAGACAACCCTCACTGTACACCAAAGAACTCACACAGGAGAGAAACCCTATATATGTAATGAATGTGGGAAGTCCTTCTGCCAAAAGACAACCCTCACTCTTCATCAAAGAATTCATACAGGGGAAAAACCCTATATTTGTAATGAATGTGGGAAGTCCTTCCGCCAGAAGGCAATCCTCACTGTTCATCAGAGAATACATACAGGAGAGAAATCCAATGGATGTCCTCAGTGTGGGAAAGCCTTTAGCAGGAAATCAAACCTCATTCGCCATCAGAAAACTCACACAGGAGAGAAACCATATGAATGTAAAGAATGTGGGAAGTTCTTCAGTTGTAAGTCAAACCTCATTGTCCATCAGAAAACTCACAAGGTAGAAACCGTGGGAACATAGTAAAAGATGTGACTTTTTTAGTAAGAACTTTTAAAGTCATAGTAAACCCTGTACATGATATTGCTTGCAAGTGTAATAATATTCAGTTTAAGGTACTATATCACATATTTACTTACTGTTTGCCCACCTATACAACACACACAAGAAAAGAACTACTAGACAAATTAAATGACAAAAGTCATTGACAATACAAGACCCTTTTTTTATTATTAGATTCAGCAGACATAAACTTCCTCTGTCAAGTTGCTGCAAACTTTTAAAATTGCTAATTTTCGATTTCAATAGCTACCTTGTTGTGAACCAGCAATAAACAGTTGGCTGACTGACAGTGGTTTACGAACCATACTGTGAGCAAAAGAGTTTTAAAAAGAAAGGAGGTATGAACTGTGTTTCTCATTGTAAATATGGAATAAAAATTAATTGTTACCTCCTGAAAGTTAATCACAGTTCTAACTTCTAACATTATAAATTAGTTTTTGCATATTATAAACTTTTATAAATTGGATTATATATCATGTATTTTTTCATATATGGCTTGTTTCATTCATTATGTTTCTAAAAGTCATCATTAGTGCATGTGGCAGAAGTTCATTTATTTTCATTCTATATACAATTTCATTATATGACTCTATCACAATTTATCCAAACTATTGTTAGTGGACTTTTTCATTGTTTACAGCTTAGGGTCATAATAAATGATGCTTCTGTGAATATATTTGTCTTTTGGTGTACATATATTTATTTCCCTTGTGGATATACTTAGGAGTGGAATTTCTGAATCCTGGGGCATTTGTGTGTTTGATCAGCTTTGGTAGATACTACCAAACAACTCAGAACTTTCAGAGCATGAGATCATTCATTCTGAAGGGAAACAATTGAATATTATCAATTGGTGATGGTTCAAACCAGAGAATTCATAGTAGAGGGAAACTCTAAGAATGTTGTGAAAACTGGAAATCTGAATGTAATGTATGTACAAAGGCTTTAGCCACAGCCCAAATCTTAATATATACCAGACAAACATAATAAATTTGACATTCCCTTTAGCCACAGTAATGCCTAATATGAGTATGAAATCAGAAAGTCATACTAGAGAAAAGGAGGCACCTAGCACCTTCTTTGCTCAACATTAGAGAATTCTAACTGGAGAAAAACCTTATGAATAAAATAAAGGGGACAGAGGATAACCTTTACCTATGGCTTCTATCTTACTGGTTATATAAAAATGATGACTGTGGAAAAACTTTAGCCATAGCTCAAGTCTTACACAACACCAGGAAATTCACATTAGATGGGAACTCTTCAAATGAAATTATTATAAAAACTATTTTGGCCATCTCACTCCTTACACAACACCAAAGAATTCATACTAAAGAAAGGAAGATTAAAAAGGGAACAGATGAGGCTTGTAACTCTTAACCGGGGAAAGCTGCTTCCATGAAAGAAGTCCAACCATACTGAGATTATAATGCTAGAGTCTATGTGTAGGCACCCTGGTCAATAGCCGCAGCTAAGTTTCCAGCCATCATCCAGTATCATCTGCCAACTGAGCTATCTTGAACATCTAATCAAGTCTTAAGATGATTTAAGCCTGCTGACATACAACTGGAACCCCATGACAGACCCCCAAGTTGTAACTGCTAAGCTAGACCTTCTCAAATTCCTGACCAATAAAATGATTACACCTTTTAAATTAAATTTGATAGACTAAAAGAAAGGGAAAATAATTTTGTTAGTATCTATTTATACTCTAAAAATGAACATATGAATATTTAGATTCTAAACTCAATAAACAACAGTGTGGTGACTACTAGGTGATTTTGGCATGAACAAAAGCTGGCCCTGAAACAGTGGAAGATTTGGCTGTATTTTGGGTTTACAATTACAAATCTAAATAACAGCTCAATGAGCGGTCCATATATGTCTCCCATTTTCTGGCAGTAAATTAGACCTAACCAACTTGGTTAGCTTACCTTTGCAAATGCATGAATCCCAACTTTTCAAAAAATGGAAATAGCCCCAGACTTGGTGGCTCTGATGACAACACAGAGGGAGCTTAAATTTTGAGACCACAAGTCCAGGTATATATTTTAAAAAACAAACAAACAAAAAGCCTTTTAAGATGTAAGGAGAAAATGGAATAACAAATGGAATGAAGTCTCATCTGTTCAGACATTTTATATCCAAATTTCTCTAGACAATTTATCTGGAAGTTTCTAGTGAAAACAATCAGACTTGAATTCCACAAAATCCTCTTGAAGTTCTTCCAGTGAGGACTGTACATCAATGTGAAACACATTCTTCCCAAAAGCTACCACAGGTAAGTTTTAAGAACAAAGTCAAGCTTCTAGTCAAGATGGTGGAGTAGGTTAACGTTGTGCTCACCTCTTCCCATTATCACATCAAAATTACAACTAAACTACAAAACAACCATCATTGAGAGCTGCCTGAACTTCAGCTGAACAGAAGTTCTATAACAAACAATATACAGAAGAAGCCACATCAAGACTAGTAGAAGGGGCAGAGACAAGGAACAGGCTGGTCTCACACCCATGTGTAGCAGTTAAAATTGGGAGAGATATCTCAGCTGCAGGGGTCCCCCCTGAGGAGCAAGAGATCTCAGCCCTACACAAGACTCCTGAGCCCAGGGTTCCAGTGCTGGGGACAGAAGTCCCTCTAAATTCTGGCTGTGAAACCCAGCACAGATTGTGGCTGAGTGAGACTGAGGGCTGCTAGAGCCCCAGGCATGCCTCTTAAAGGACCTCGCACGGATTTACTTGGTGAAGGATTCACTTGCTTTGAGCTCCAGTGCTGGGGTAACAGCTCAAAAGGCGCCAGGAACATACAGGGGGGAAATGAACTGTCTATCTTCATGACAAGGGCTGGAGGGGCAGCTTACTCCCAAACATTAGTGCTGGCAGAAGCCATTGTTTCTTTGTTGAGCCCTTCTTCCATCTAGCATGCAGATACAGATGGGTGCCATATCTAAGTCTCCATCAACTTAGCACCATGCCCCTGGCCCTGGTGAATCCCTGAGACCCTTCCCCCCCAACATTTGGGCCCACCCAAGCCACTTCTGGTGAGTTTTCCATACAAATGGCCAGTCTTGGTTGATGCTGAAGGCTTTCCTAAAATCTCTCAAAGGTTCACAAACCCCAAAAAAGCAGCATCTGGCTTTGGCAAGTCCCGAACCTCTGGCTGAACAGCCCCAAACCTGGCACTAGCTACAGCCGGCCTTGGTTCGAGGCTTGGCCTCTCGAGGCACCTCCAAGCTCAGTGTGGGCCGCAGCCATCTGTAGATTGCTTTGTGGCTCATGCCAGGTAGCCCTGAGCAGGGCACAGGCTGTGGCTAACCTTGGCCTGAGGGAGGCTCTCCCAGGAGGCCCTGGGACTGGCACACCTGGTGGCCAGCTTTGGTCCAAGCTGGAGCATCACAGCCACCTCTGATAACTTCACACCCAAAGGGCACTATGGGAAGGCATGAGTGCCCTGCTAAAGCAAATCCTGCTCCATAGGGTCAGCTCCTGCACAATAGCTCCTCCACTGTAGTCACGACCAGCCCTCACTAACAATCAGCCCGAGGATCAATCTCTTCCATTGATATGCTAACAGAAATCAAGGCTCAACTACAATAGGAGGGCAAACACACGCACACAAGGGACACACTTGGAGTACCTGGCTCAAGTAACTAGGGGAACTGCACCACTGAGCCCCACAGCACTCCTACTACATAAGGTCACTTTACTAAAACCAGGAGATATAGCAGCCCTACCTAATAACATAGAAACAAACATAGGGAGGCAGCCAATATGGGAAGACAAAGAAATGTCTCAAATAAAAGAACATAACAAAGCTCCAGGAAAAAAAAAACTAAACTAAATGAAGACAAGCAATCTACCAGAGATACAGTTCAAAACACTGGTTATAAGGATGTTCAATTATCTCAGGGGAACATCAACAAAGAGATAGGAAACATAAAAATGGAGCTAGAAAACAAAAAAGAACCAGTCAGATAATAAAAAATACAATAACTGAAATGAAAAATACATTAGAGGAAATCAACAGATAAAATGAAGCAGAGGATCAAATCAGTGAGTTAGAAGTTAAGGTAGAAAATACCCAATCAGAACAGCAAAAAGAAAAAAGAATCCAAAAAGATGAGGATACTCTAAGAGGCCTCTGGGACAACATCAAGTGTAACAAAATTTCCATCCTAGGGGTACCAGAAAGAGGAGAGAGCAAGGGATTGAAAACCTATCTGAAGAAATAATGATGGAAAACTTCCCTAGCCTGGCAAAGTAAATAGACATAGCAGCCCAGAAAGCAGAGTCTCCAAACAAGATGAACCCAAAGAGGCCCACACCAAGACACATCATAGTTAAAATGCCAAAGATTACAGAAAAAGAAAAAAAATCTTAAAAGCAGCAAGAGAAAAGAAGTTAGTTACCTACAAGTGAGCTCCCAAAAGACTATCAGCTGATTTCTCAACAGGAACTTTATAGACCAGAAGGGATTAGCAGTTTGAAATATTAAAGGTGATGAAAAGCAAGGACCTACAACCAAGATTACTCTACCCAGCAAAGCTATCATTTAGAATCAATGGACAGATAAAGAGCTTCCCAGACAAGAAGAAGCTAAAGGAATTCATCACCACCAAACCAGTATTACAAGAAATGCTAGAGGGGTTTCATTAAGAAGAAAAAAAAATTTTTTTTTGAATAATAAAATGGCATTAACTACATATCTATCAACAATTACTTTCGATGTAAATGGATTAAATGCTCCAATCAAGATAGATCGGCTGAACAGGTAAGAAAACAAGACCCTTATATATGCTGCCTATGAAACTCACTTTGGATCACAAGACACACACAGAGTGAAAGTAAAAGGATGGCAAAAGATATTCCATGGAAATAAAAACAAAAAAGCTGGAGTAGCAATACTTATTTCAGATAAAATAGTCTTTAAAACAATGGCTGTTACAAGAGACAAAGAACCCAGTAATCCCACTTCTGGGTATTTATCCAATACCCAAAATGCTACTTCGTGGGGGACATGTGCATCCATGTTCTTTGCAATATTTTTTTACGATGGCCAAGATGTGGCGGGAGCCTGGGTGTCCATCAGTGGATGAATGGATAAAGAGAGGTGGTACATATATACAATGGAATATTGCTTAGCCAGGGAAGGAAATGGGTTCTTGCCATCTGCAGCTCCATGAATAGAC